TGGCAAACCTAACAGGATCTAACATTGCGATTTGTGACATCCTGTCAAGTCCATTGTCCATATGTTCACACTGCATGATAATATCTGAACTCAAAGCAGCACAGTCGTAAAGGAAATGCTACTGCTCTAAAACAACAGCCTTTCTTTTGCAATGTTGACATATTTTCCTTTTATTGTGAGTTTGCACAGACATGCCCTTTAACCAGGTGTAAATCTGTACTCGGATTATACTCAGACATGGATTATACATCACGCTCCCTTATTCACCATCAATGTCCACAGTAAGTCATACAAAGTACTGGTGATTCAGGATTGGAAAGGTTTTAAAAATGTCCTTTAAAAACTGACATTGGAGAACGGAGACTCTAATGGTTGATCTAGTAGGTGTTCACCAGTGGGAACAGATTAAAGTATAAACAACAGGAATGCTATTATACTTGTTAATAAATGATGCTGAAAAAGACTCTTCTACTGTGGATAGTGTTATTTGTCTAAATGTTCTGAGAATTAATTCATAATTCAGATGAACACAGAGCGACTTATTTTACTTAGATTTATAGGATTTGGGTCTTGAACATATTTAAACTTTCTATTTAAAAAAGACACTTGTGTAGAAGTTTATGAACATAAAGTGACATCTGATTATTTTAAGGTCTTCAAGACAAACAGTAAATTTAACAAAAACATTTTTTTTTAAAAAGTGCAATATTTACGCACACATTTGGTTGCCGCATGTGTCATAAAGTTAGATGACCTGGCCTTGAAATAGAAGTTATACCTGTGACACATCTCTAACTCTACGCTCCCATAAATGCCAATAAATCTCTCATTCACTGCTCCTCACACTCATCACATGTATCGCTGCAGAGAGTGTTTACTTCACCTGACAGTCCCCCCATGGCTCCAGTCCAAGGCTGATTGTACACGAAGTTCCACACCAGAAAGGCTGAAAAGCCCACGATCGTACCAAACGAAGCATAGGCGATCCTCATGTACGTCTTATTGATACCCATGATTGCAAATTTAAAGTTAATAATAAAAAAAATAAAATAAAGGCTGTGTGGGGAGAAGCAGTCGCGGGCTGGGCTGGAGGAGAGCCGAGTGTCTGTGAGCTGCAGCAGCAGGAGGTAAGAGCTGGTAATAATAAAATATCTACCTGACAAAAAAAAGGTCCACGAGGACACAGTGTGACTAAAACAATGCGTGTGCTCTGCTGGCTAATGGTTAATGTGGTTACTGTGAAACATGACAGCGCGTTTCTGATGAGGGATGTCCTATCCAGCTGCAAAAACACACAGCCTTGCGTTACGTCATCAAGAAATCTGATCATGGTGGGTGGACACAGCAACCCCTACAGGACCACAGAGGAAATTATCTACCTCAGAGCTCTCTGTGTGTGTGTGTGTGTGTGTGTGTGTGTGTGTGTGTGTGTGTGTGTAAAATAACAGCTGGACGGATTAAAACCCTTTTTAATTTGCATGTTGGATTCATAGGTGATGAATGGCAAATGTGTTTTTATTTTATCTGGGCAGATCATAAGTGAAAAAAATAAGAAAATGATCCGGCATGATTTACATGGAGGTTTTGAATAAAATAATGTGCTTCTTGGGACTGTTATAATAAAATTTTATTTGATCTGTGTACTGCATTTGAAACAGATGGCCACATTGTCCATAGAAACTGCTGGTGTTGGTACAAAGGCTCCTGTCTTGTCTTCATAGGAGAATTCTCCCCATCCTCAGCCATCCTTCATGGGGTCTTTCCCATATTCTCAATCTAAATGGCATCCCTGGGTCAAGATAATCCATTTATACAGTCATGTGGAAAAGAAAGTTGTCACTTTCTAAATCGTCTTGTAAAACACTCAGTAGGCTCTCATTGCTTTCATGGGAATTAAGTGGCTAAATAGGTGTTGCTCATCAAAATAAGACCATGCAATGGTTGCAAAAGCACCATGAGCTACATCTAAGATGCTACAGAAGTTAGCATGTTAAATGCTTAAGTTCATGACAGTACAATCAGAAAAACATTGAACAAGTATGGCTTCTTTAGAAGCTATACAAGGAAAAGGCCTCTCGTCTCTAAGAAAAGCACATGGCAGAACAGCTTAGGTTTGCAAAGCTGCATCAAAGGGATAAAACCATAAGACAGATAATGGTCATAATGCTGTGAGTTATGTACTGATAGGCTGTTTGGTTTTCTCCAAACAACTCATACTGACTGTCACAAAGCTAGAATAATTTTCCCAAAGTGAGGAGCTGTTATTCTAAAGGATGTTTTCATCTTTGGGACACAAATTCTCCTCTTAAAATATTCTCCAATTTTATGCTGCCATCAATTCAAAGAGTACCACAGGCACCTCTGACACAATGCTATCTTACATACAAAGCACTCCATTGATTGCAGCAGTGTTCTAAACCTGCACAATTAATGTTTTGGCAAAAGAGCACAACAACATTCAGAAGGGCAATGGTATATTTACATATATAAAAATATATTTATTTACAATATATTTATTGTAGAGTCCTAATTTCCACTGCCATGCAGACAATCAGCTCAGTGATCCTACGCCAGAGGTCCTTTCATCAGGCCCAAAAAAGGATCTTTTTTTTTAATTTATATATATTTTATTTTAAAAACACCACAAATGTCATCCATGCTTTCGCATCTTCATGTTTGGACTGCTATATTTCCTGCTTTCAGTGACTGTAGCCCAGGAGCTAGAGCAGGTCAGCTACTAATCAGAGGGTCGGTGGTTTGATCCCCGGGCAAGGTACTAAGCCCAAGTTGCTCTCCGATACATCCACTGGAATATCAGTGTTAGAAAATGCTTGAGCATAGAAAAAAGTGCTTGCGTGAATGAGGCTATAAAGTGCTTCGAGTGCCCATGCCACTCTAAGTGGTTCACCAGCAACCTGGTGGATGCTAAGAGGTTTACACCAGAAATAGTTGCTCATTTGCACGATCAGCTTGGTAAGAGCAGGTTTCGAAAAAGTTAAAACTTTCTGTTACAAACACAGCTGTGTGCCAACCTAGACCTTGCTGCTTCTTCATATCAATTGTATTTACAAAATGTGCAACTCTATAATATATACCAAATATGACCTGGGGTTGAAGTTAAAGGTACATGTAAACATAATGAAGAGTTGTCTGTGAAGGTTCTCAGTCATCCAGGTCATTGTAGTCTAAGGAGCTTGAAAAGAAAAGTGTCTGGACTTCTTTAAGTTGCTTGAAGACGTTTCACCTCTCATCAGAGAAGCTTCTTCAGTTCTAAGGGTCAAAAGGTGGAGAGTCCCAGATTTAAACCCAGTGGGAGTTTCCCCCCAAAGAGGGACAAAAGGACCCCCTGATGATCCTCTACCTAATCACATGAGCCAAGGTGTGAAAACGGGTGTGGGTCACAATCAGCCAGGGTTTCAGGTGAGCTCATTGTGAAACCTGGCCCCACCCTATCGTGTGATTTCCTGAGTTCTGGAAGAGTTCTGGAAATCTGAAAGATAACAGGAGTTAGAGTCAGAACTGTAGAACTGAAGAACTGTAAGAATAAAAAATGACCTTTATACAAAAAGGGGAAGATGGTAAAGGGTTTTAGAAGACCTGGTACAGTTTTATTGTAGCTCAAAGATGAAGACTGATGACTTGAAATGGATCAAATTGTCAAAGAATGAGCTTTGTAAGGGGTAATGTCAGTTGGACTGACACAGTCAAAAACAGCAGTTGACAATAGAGATTGACAGACCACGTGACTTTCGCGCATTGCATGCCGGTAACTCGTGGCAAAACAATCCAAGTACCTGCATCAAATGGAAGCATTTGCAGCACCGCAAAACGTTCATTCTTCGGTTCCAATAAATTCTTGCTTTTTCTTTGCCCCCCAAAAAGGTATGTACAAAACGAAGGAGAACAATGCCGGTCCGTACAAAGACAGACTTAATGAAAAGTCAAAGAAAAGATACGAGGAAAAAATCAAACCAGTGAAAGTGTTAGATCCTTACGAGCACACAGAGGGACAAAAGACGTTAGCGTGCTGCCCAACTTCACCACGCTCATATTTATAAGTATACGGTTCTTGGAGTGAGTGCATACACTCGTGAAGTTTAGTAACTTCAGGTCACTGCAACAAGCCCAGGTACAGTTTACCGACGGACGGGTACAGGACCTTGAAATGCACCGTGTAGAAAGTAAAGACCATCGTACGAACAAAGGTAAGTTTACCAGTCTCACAAATCGTCTTCATAAATACACATTCGTTAACCGTTTATTAATAGGACCTTTGAGCTCAATGGTAATTAATTAGTAGTAGAAATAATTTCTGGTACCCATCACAGAAATGTAGCAGTGACAATAATATTGTATGCTGTAATCGCACTGGGCAATTACACTCAAAAAAATGAAACGTTGACTTTAATTAAAATTATTTTGTCAACAGGTTCCACGAAATTGAATTGTGTTAGTTTAAAGCAAAAATCTTTAGGTCATCTAATTTAATAAACTTGCATTACAGTAAAACAATCCTTTTGAAGTGAGCCAATTTTATAAATCTATTTAGGATTAATTAACAAGCAATATTTAAGACCACCTAAAACAAGTTATGTTGTATGGACATAAATTATGTATTTACAGGTTAGATAGATTAGATTCGTTTTGTGAACACATTTCTTGTTTGTGGTTTTTAAATGTTAAATTTAAGTTAGATTAATTAAAATATTATATTTTCAGCAAAATTGTGCTTTACTAATTAGTTTTACACAAATCTATTTTGTCAACAGGTTCCACACAAATGAATTTAATACAAGCCACTTATTTTCTTTAATTTCCTTTATTGCCAAGACATTCATTAAACATTTCTTTAACAAAACAGCTGCACCACACATTATTAACCCATTAAGGTTAGTAACTAATAGTATGCACACAGATGCACCATAAAAATAACGATTTTAAATTAAATGTCTCTGCCAGAAACAGAAGAAAAAACATTTAAGATCACATAATAGGTTGACCACAAAACCTTTAACAAATCAAAATGAACTGTTCACCTTAACAGCCACAATCCTGGACGGCATCCCATGACAAATTTGTGAAGAACAGAATAAACAGGTTCCAGTCACCAGGTTAGATAAAAAAAAAAAGTAATAATAATAATAATAAAAACAAATAGTCTACTAATATTCCCAAAATGATATCACCATCCCAAATAAAACTTGAATAAAATATGCAAACATTATGATCTGACAATAAAACAGCTTGCCAGTTTTCAGTTTTTTGCAGCAGCTTAACAGAACTCATTTAACACTTGCCACTGACAGCATTTATTTTACCACTGTATAGGGAAAAAACTCAAGTGGCAAACATTTTAACATGGAAAGAATTGTTCTTTTTTAAAATGCGGCAAAATGCACATTCATCCTGTATCGTCTCTCAATGAAACCATTTAAATCTAAATACTTTGAATAATCTTTTAGTAGGCCCTAAACCCCCCCGCCCCCAAAAAGAGTAAAATCTCTGTAATTGCAATTGTTTACAAACAAATGTTTTAAATCTCTCTCAAATTTTGGTTCCCCCCCCACCAAAAAAAACAACAACATTTTTTAAACCAAATTTCCATTTTATTCGCCTCCCAAAAACTTCTGTCCATCTGACAGAACATTCATCCAAATAAAAGAAGGGTTGGATTATTCATACAGTTTATTCTTGAGCATCTGTACCTTTGTTGAGAGTCTGCTGGCATCCAGATGAAGGAAGACCTTCTGAAGTACCTCAAAGAAAGCTTTCAGTTCCCGAGGATAACTGAGATTGAGTGCATATATCACACCCATTAAGACCGCACACGCAGAGGCCATGTCTCCCAGGTCATGCAGAACTTCAACACCCTCGATGGTTATACCCACATCAGCTGGAGGAGTGCTGGCATCACCTCCTTCAACACTGATGGTGAAGATACCAAGGGTAATTTGTTCCAGCTCCCTTTGAACAGCTGTAGCATCAGAATCCTTTAAAACAAAGAGTAAAACAAAAACCCATCGCATTGGGAATTAGACACAAAAACACAGAAAAATGCATCCTTAAAAAAAAAAAAAAGCCAAAGTCACCCTTTAATGAAATAAACACAATATCAGGAAGACTAATGATTCTGCACCCTGGTGCGCCATTATTTTCGACTACAGTTTTAACAAAAAATGTTAAATAAATAAATACTAAATAGAATCACCATTATATATATATGCATCCTCTAAGTATTATGTATTACTAACTTTTTAGTATTGGATTGCATTACATTGCATAACTCTTCCTGAAATGTGTGTATACATAAAGATTCCTGTTGAAAGATTTTATTATGTTTATGTTTAGAAGTACATTTCATTTGAGGTTCTCTAGATGTGTTTGCTCTTTTTACTAGAGAAGTTACACTGTGCAAGCTCAGCAGGAAGTCTCTACCGTTGTATGTTATCTCTTCCTGCATGTGACGCAGTCTCTACCGTTATATGTTATCTCTTCCATTCATGTGTCTGTGACGCAAACATGCTTGAGTATAAATAAAGGGTGGTGACTGCTGCGGAGTGTGAGTCTCAGTTTGAACTCTCACCCATGTGCACGTTAAACCTGCAAACCTGTCTGAGTGTCATTTATTCTGACCTGAGTTGCATTACAGGAAAACTCCTAACATTTCCCCAAAGCATTTAAACAGATTCCATGCAAATTATAACAATGTGACAACATTAGTTATTCAAGATTTGGTTTAATACAGATAAAGACTACGCTAAAATTACCAACCAGGTATTCTTTAAAGAGGATGCTTGGGTCTTCATTTAGGTAAAGAGGTAGTGCCCTGAGGACACACTCCCTCCTCTTTTCAATAGTTTCATTCTGGAGAGAGTGACAGAGGTACAGAAAGAGAAAACAGAAATACTTTAGAATGACACAAACTGACAGTATATGCAAAATGAATGACATATCCACTGCTGACACAGACATGTACACAAGACCAATTAATGATCACATGAATATTTAACATGTGGGCAGGGTTTCCACCATATTATACATATCCATATTAAGCAACAGAGGGAAAGACAAACTAATACGGCATCTTTTTTTGCATACCAAAATGGAACTTGCAGGTACTATACACTAGCTGTTTAAATTTGAAAGTGATCTTATAATGCCATAACATTTTGCTGCGAACAGAAAAACGCACCTGTGTGGCTGGGGCCAAAATTTGCCTGATTTTCCTCCCTGCAGCGCCTCCTTTATTCTTGAAGACTTTTATTAGTTGGTCAGTGTATTGGTCAAGTTGTGCAAGAAACCTCGGAACCAGTGGAGCAGTAGTAATCCTTACAAATTCTGCTTCTACCTAAAAACATGTCAACAAACACAACATACTGTACTGTAACTATATTTATATATACTATACGTACACATATACATACTACTGGAGCCATTACAGCTTTTATTGTTATTTATAAAGATTCATACCTCAGCCACACTAAATAGTCCTGGCCATCTGATCTTGAAGTCGGCGATCATGGGATTGTTTTTGACAAGTTCCTGCCTCCTGTATGCAAAGGTCCTGGCCATCTTCTCTTTGATAACTATCTCATTATGCTTCTTCTTGACCTCAGTTAGCAATGCCAATCTCTCCCTTTCAAGGCTGTCCTGGGTCTCTCCAGCCGGATAAGGAGGACAAAAATTTACCTCTGCCTTTCTAGGTTTTTTGACAGCATATGCTGGGTGACATCGATCGGTTGGTTTGTGCTTGAGGGAATTAATGCTCACTTCTGGGCACCCCAAGTTTCTAAGCTTTGTCCTATAATTTGCCATCTTGTACTTGAGGCTAATCTTCCATCCGTAGAAACCACTGAAAGATCCTTGTTCTCTTAAGCATGGATGTGCTTTGATTAAAGCTTCAGCAACAGATTCTATTTCCAAGTTTGAAGGATATGCCTTAAACGTCATGATTTTCTCAGCTAGAGCTTCTAAAATGTCTGACTTAAGTTTGTGTCCTGGGTTCAGAAGAATTCCATTTGATATGAAAGCCTGGTTTGCACTTTGAAGTTGCATCTCCACGTCATACGGAAACTTTGGTATTTGGAATTCTGCAGGCCACTGAGATCGAGCAGTTTCGGAGTCAGAGGATGAAAGTAATAGTGTGTCAGAAGATGATAGTGACGTTTCTTCCCCACTTTGGTTCATCCCAACTTCACCAAAGTCTGAAGCATCAGTCAGACAGATGACTTTCACTGTGCTCTTGTCCTGAATATCATCCATTCGTTTAAGGTTGATAAACTCATTATCAAAGTCACTGTCCATGTACTGGAGTCTAATGTCCCCCTGAATATCAAACTGACGTTTGCTCTCATCTGAAAGATCCTCCACAGACTTTGGCATGCCCGATGCTATCGTCAGTTTTTCAGTATTGTTGGAACCAAGGATGATCCGCAGTTTTACTGGTTCAGCCATCATTCGATTCCGTGCTTCAGTCTAGAAAAGAAAAAATATATATACATGAACATAAATCCAGTAACTACGTACAAAATTGAAAGTATTAAAATTGAGATGTCAACATGTTTCACAACGGTACTTAACAGAGAAGTGAGAAAAATTCTGGCTAATCTCAACATAAACACAGATTAAAGGTTTTCTTGTCTAGAAGATGTACTGATGGGCCTAACAGACTGTTAGATTCAACAAGTCACAAGGAGTTAGTGGCTGAACATCACAATAAAGCCAGATGCTACTTTAGGTGCTTATGCCAGTGAGATTAAAGTGCATATTGAGTAAGGTATTAATTACAGCTGTTTACTCACATATTCATTGTGTGCTTTTGATGTAAGGATATCTTTTCAATGTAACCATTCGAAGGGGACCAATGAAGTAGTCATTTAATGGGTACTTCTCTGCCAGTTCATCATATGTTATCAGGGACATTTTGCCACTTGTACATGGTTGCAGTTCAAAGGCCCGGTAGTGCTCCCTAAACCAAGACGAAAACTTGCTGACAATGAAATTCAGTGTACCCTGAACAACACATAATCTGATTATCTCTCCAAATTCAGGCAGCCCATCAGTAAAACCACAGATAACGATCATTCTATTTCTGTAGTTGATCCCTCTATAGTCTGCACTTTTAGTCATGTTTACTTCTGTCATGTCAGGATACATCTTTTTGATAGGCAGAGAAATGTCATCTTTCAGAACCTCAAGTGGAACTCTTGATGCACTTGACACTTCAACTCCAGATTTCTGTGGATGTAATGAGTGTAAGTGATAGGCAATCAGCATTTGATGTTTCCTTGACAGTGTTAGAGCAACATTCTTGAAACACTTGGTATGATGAGCCACTTCCTTGAAAAAACTGTGTTTTCCCTCAAATCGCATTGTCCATAATCCAACAAGAGGACCAAAACATCGGATCATCTGAGGGTAATGTTCCAAGTAGTGATGCTTTGGCAGAAGTTTTTTGTTGGGAAATGCTTCTTGATATTTCTGTCTGTGATCAGAAATTTTGAACTGAAGATATCCAATTGATTCTTCTGTATGGATCTGGGCAACAGCAAGTTCCACTATCTCCTTTAAATCCAAAATGATTTCCCACACTGGATCACCGTCAGGTATAACATCTCCAATCAAGAAGGGCAGCAATCTTAACGGAGTCCAATTTTCCGCTGCATTGCCACCTATTGTATTTTTTCTTAACAATGTTCGTGGAACAATATGTGGACGGTTTGTTTTATCTTTTCCCTTATAGGGAAAACTGACAATCACTTTATTTAAAGAGTCCAAAGTGATGTATTTTTTGGATATGAACATACCCAGACACTGTGCAAGTTCCACTGGAACAACACCTTCCAAAAGATCGTGGAGTATGTCAGGTGGATATCCAGTTGTCACATGAAAATGAGAAAGATTTTCCGTCAGCACACATGGCCTTTTTACTCCAACACAATGCTTTCCACTCTCTACTGCATGTTTGACATGTTCTTTGTGCAGGTCTTTGGATCGAAGAGTAAACTCTCCAGAAAGTACCGGTTTGGTCTGAAAGTCGCTGAAGCGTCCTGTGCAAAATCGACAAACATACTCTCCTGAAAAGCTCTCCACAAAACCTGCAATCCCATGAGCACCTAGATTGTCTGCAGCTACACACTGTACCATGCCTTTAATATTTTTTCCAATCTGTGGGACAAATACCCCATGCTCCTCCAAGACTGCCAAATCACACAAAAGAGGTTCAAGCACTTTTTCATACCCATATTCCTTGACGTAGCTGCTTTTACACAGTATTGCCAAGTAGATGGATGACAAAGAGGAGTGTTGGTCTTGGGATAAGTTGCTTAATATCCAGTACACTGCACAAAGTTTGTGCTTCTTTCTTGAAGTACCGAGAGGGTTGCATACTTCAAAATCATCAATGTAAAGCATCACGGTAATTCTCAATTCATCAGCAGACAGGAACTGATTTTGTTTGAAAAATTCTCCATCTTGAAATGATCTGTATTCTTGTTGCATACTTTCAGTTTCCTTGGATTGAGCATTGTAGTTTTCTACTATGTCATCTACTATACCATTCTTTGTTAGGAGCTGTTGTAGGGTCTGCAGTAATGGTATATATTGGTAGGTGTGGTTGCTCTCCTTATCCAAAATATATTCAATTGGTTCAACGACATGGAACTTTTTGCTGAAGTACTGTTTCCGCTTAAAAGCAGTTCCAAGTGTACCCATATGTCCAAGTGTTTTTGTCAGAGGGTTAGAGATGCAGACTGCAGAGGCCAAATCCTCAATTTCTTTCACATTAAGATTAATATGACTTTGCTTTGTACAAAAATCTGTAACTATGGCATTTATTGCAGTCAGGGATGCAGAACTCATCAGGAAGTGCAAGTCCTGCAAAAACTCATCCACTGCACTGCTTGGAACATGGAGTACATTTTCCAGCTTAAGCAACATCACTGCAAATTTCTCTTCTATCATCCTCTCATCACTTTTAGAGATCCCAGTCTGAGACAAGTCTTGCACTTCCACCTGGCCTTCGTCAAATACTTCACTGTCTTCATGTTCCCCTTCAGGAGCTGGCCTGTTAAAACGGTCTCTTACTGTTACTATTCCACCTTTAAAGTCACTGTAAGAATAACCAAGATGTTTTCTATTTTTATGTGATTTGAATGTTCCATAGATGTTTGTCATAATTGTACAACCCTTGAACACGCATGGGACCGTTTCATTTGCTTTCAGATGCAAATTTATGTGACTAAAATACTCCTTTTCAGAGGTAACTTCAGAGAATCCACAAACATGGCAGCTGAATGTGGCCAGTGACAATGTTTTCTGTGATTTCTCTCTGTTATGAATCCTACAAAAATGGGACCTGAGTGCATTCCATGACTTAAATGTGCATGGACAACTAATATATGGGCAAGGATATGGGCGCCAGTGCCCATAATCTGGATGTTTTAATCTATAATGTTTAAGTAATTGGCCCCTAGTTGAGGTCCTTGCACTGCAACCTTTACACTGCCACATTCAGATCTGGAGAAGACATAAAAGTAAAGTAAACAAAACTTAACTCGTAAAACAGTTTTTTTTGAAAAAAGTATGACAGTTCACATACCACATGCAAGCACAGGCATACCACATACACCACATCAGTATAAGAGGGAGCAGGTAAAGGCCAGGAAAAAACTTAAAAATTATTGATTGAATTACAAGTAAATAAAATCTTACTCAGAAAAAAAGCAAGAGATTGACACTGCCATGTGCCAACTTTCTATAGAAAAAATTATCAGGTCTGTTGACCTTCTGTCTGTCCAGTTATTTTTCGTCAATAATTTCATTTAAAAAAAATGTAGTGTTTATTTAACAAAATTTAATTTATAACCATGTTGATATGTATAACTCTGCTAGGAAACATGCTGTCTTTACAGACCATTTTCATATAATACAGATGACTGATAGAGCACAACAATGGTGTCACAGTGGCTTCTGGCCCTCAATTTTTGGATTTTAAATGTCACAACTTCATGCTATCATTGTTATGCTATTAGACATTTGTGTGATTCTCAAATTACAATAAAGCAATCTCAATAAAGCAAGTGGAAAAATATCCTAGAACCCCTTTAGCTAATCGCTTTAACAAGCAAAGAAACATTAAAAATGTGTCTTACACATTCCGCAAAGTAAGGATATTAACATGTTAGCAGTTAATACAATTGTTTACAATAACCTGGGATAAACAGGCACACTAAATTTTATCATTTGTACTATTATATCTCATCTTATTCCCAGGTTTGCTCTATGAGGGACATACTTCATCTGTGCATCTATTCTGAGTGCAGTAAAAAAAAGAAATGCAAGCTCAAATGTTGCATTTTGTGGAGAAAATTATTTTGATCTTAGAAAAGTTTAATTTCAGCGAAAAAATTTCATTTCTGCATGCAAGAAATGTATTTCAGTGTTTGCTATTATCCATATACACACACAATGACAGCCCCTCTCGCTCAGTTGTTTGCATTTGCTCTTGATCAGATCCGCTCAACTCTCTGTACACCGTTTTAAATGTGCCACACAACCAACCAATCACAGACTTGGATGCTAAAATTCTGATTGGCTGCTACAGTCTCCAATCAGCTTGCTAGCTACTACTTTCCAGAAACACGGTCCAGAATGTAGCTAAATCGAGTTTGGAGAGCAGAGATCTGAGCAAGAGCAAATACCAACTAGTGATGGGATTTCCGGCTCTTTTTGCTCTGCTCACTAAAAAGAGCCGCCTCTTTCGGCTCCGAACCGGCTCTTCAGGTTGTTTTGTTGCTTTAATTAATTTATTATTCACAATAATATAAAATTATGCACAAAAGGAATTACTAACGTAAAAAAGTGGTTTTATTTAGATATTTTTATGTATAAATATATGTGGTGGCCCCTAGAGACAAAACACGTACAAACTCCAAAACACATTTCTAGCATGAACTGAACTTCCAAAGCAGAGCTACTAGATCACTTAAATTACACAATTGAAAGCATGTGTGTATTGTTTGTGTATTTATACACAGGCACTCAAATATATTCAAATAATTTAAAAAAAAGTTCATCTACCTGTTACTATCACACACCAAATCCGGTCGTTGGGTACTTGCTGGATTGTGTAGCCACAAGATAACAAAAGCTCAACACTGCGCCCAGCATCCTGGAGCACTTCTGTTGTCTTTTGTAAGTGTTTTGAGTTTTTATATGCTTCTGAGTTTTTACGTGTTTTGGAGTTTGTACGTGTTTTTACGTGTTTTGGAGTTTGTACATGCTTCAGAGTTCGTACGTGATTTGAAGTTTGTATGTGCTTTGTCTCTAGGGACCACTGTAAATATACTTTTATTTATTCACGCCACATAAAATGTAATAAATAAATCATATAATACAAAAATCAACTATTCACATTTCAACTTTTAACTATTTAAATTTTCAGCTGTTTCCTTTTACAAATTTAAAGTGAAAAC